CCCTCCCTCCCTCCCTCCAACTCACTTCTTTCCTTCCCTTCCTCCCCCCTTCCTTCCCTTCCTCCCTCCAGCTCCCTTCCTTCTTCTTTCTCTCCCTTGTTCCTTCCCTTTCCCTCCCTATCACTTACTTCCTTCCTTCCCTTTCCTCCCTGCTGTCACATCCTTCCTTCCCTCCCTTCCTCTCTCCAACTCACTTCCTTTCCTCCCTCCCTTTCCCATCCTTTCCTCCCTCCCGCTTCCTTCCTTCAATCCCTTCCTCCCCCTCTTCTTCCTTGCCTCCCTATCCATTACTTCCCTCCTTCTCCCATCCTTCCCCTTCCTTCCATCCCTCCTGCCTTCCCTTATCCTTCCTTCCCTCCCTCCAATATGCTTCCTTCCTTTCCTGCCTCCCTCTCCCATCCTTTCCTCTCTCCTTCCTTCCTCTTCCTTCCTCCCCTCCTTCTTCCTTCCTTCCCTTCCCTCCCTCTTCTTTCCCTCCCTATCCCTCCCTCCCTCCTTCTCCCATCCTTCCCTCTTCCTCCCTCCCTCCAACTCACTTTCTTCCTTCCCTCCTCCTGCATCCTTTCTTCATTTTTTCCCTCCCTCCCTTTCTTCCCTCCATTCCTGCCTCTCCATCCCTTCCTCCCTAGCATACTTCCTTCCCTCCCTTGCTCCAGCTCAGTTCCTTCCTTCCCTCCCTCTCACATCTTTCCTTCCTTTCTCTGTCCCTCCCAGCCTTGATTTCCACATATAAGATAGGCTTGTGCTTCCTGCACAAGAGAAAGGGGCCACATAGCGATGCCTAAAGTAACAGTTACAAGGTTAAGAGGCATAAGGGTAAGTCCAATGATAAAACAGTGGACTCACCTTTATGCCTCCTAACCTAGGAAATGTTATTGGAAGACGCTGAAGACACTGTAAGTCTGTCAAATGAAGGGATGTAGAATGAACAGTACTACTTACCTGGTGGCCATATAGCCTTCAAGAAAGGCCAAAGTGCTTCACAATTCAATAACCCTTACAACAATCTTTCCAACAAGACCTACAGTATTTTTATTATTGATTCACTTCAGCAAGCAGGTTGAAAGATAGCAGTGTGCCAAAGGAAAATCAGACTGGGATCCTAATGTCAGGGAAAGATTTTCCCAATTTGAAATACCTCACCCCAGGCAATAGGAGACCCCATGAGAGATCTTTCCCTGAACTATCTGGTTTGGCAAAGAGGTGTCATGCCATACTGGTTCTCAAGGTTTGTCAAATGATAGAAGTAAAGGCTTCTGGTCAAAGTACTTCATTGTAATACAGAACATTTAGAAATAATTAGACAACCCATGACATGTTGGGACATTGTTTCAGAGATATTGCTTACCAGAGAAATAGAATGATCAAGGGCAAAAAAGCAGTGGGAGTGTGAGCGACTTGTGGCTGGCTTCCTCATTGCCTTTGCTCATGGGAAGCTGGGTGCAGTCTTCTTTCCTTACTTCCCTCTTCTTCATCCCTCTCCCTTCCTTCCCTTCCGCCCTCTCCCTTCCTTCCTTCCTTCCTGCCTCCCTTCCTTCCCTCTCCCTCCCCCTTTCTGCCTCCCTCCTTCACTTCCTTCCTTTCACTTACTTCATTCCTTACTTTCCTTCCTTCCCTTCCTCCTTCTCACTTCTTTCCTTCTTTCCTTCCTTCGCTCCCCCTTCCTCTCCTTCTCCCCTCCCTCTCTTTCTCCCCCTTCCTTCCTTCCTTCCTTCCTTCCTTCCTTCCTTCCTTCCTTCCTTCCTTCCTTCCCTCCCTCCCTCCCTTCATATCCACATATAATATAGGCTTGTGCTCATTGCTTATTGCCCTTCCCTTCACAACCCTCAGGAGAGTCCTGGTGAAGCTGCTTCCTCCTCCTCCTCCTCTTCGGCCTGTCAGGAAAACTGAACCCATTCCCCCTCCCTCCAGGGAGAAAGACCAACACCCACCCCCCAGCAGGCCTCCGTGTCACTCCCTTGTCCTTCCCTCACCATCAACTGCCATTAAGAGATTTCAAATTTCTGCCTCAGTTCCAAAGCAGCCAATCGCCACTCGCCCATGAGGCCTTGCCTTACTCCAGTGGAATTCACCCATGATGATCACGTGACCTGGGCTGAATCCTGCAGAGCAGTGCTGAAGCAGCAACAAATTCCCCAAATTTCAATCCCACTGGAGTAATGGGTCATGGAATTTGAACTAATTCTGTAAGGTAGCCCATTTGAGATACCTTGGTTCAAATTTTGTTCTCCTTTGACACACCGTTTTGTTGAATGTTACAAAAACCGAGAGTTTTAGTAGTGTATAGATAAGTAGGACTTGCAACAAAATGTTTAGAGTGGCCGTTTTAAGATCATTTCATTTACAATACTTCCCCCATCCCTAATCTAATTTCCCTCTCCAATGTTGTGGTCTTCATTGGACTGTTGAAAATGCTGTTAGTTAAGGAAGTAGGCATTTTAAAGAACACACCTAAACCAAGGTGAAACCAAGGTAAACCAGAGACATTACAGGTCAAAGGGACGAAAACAAATGAAGGATGGTACAGTATTT